AAGAAAGAAAGAAAGAAAGAAAGAAAGAAAGAAAGAAAGAAAGAAAGGAAGAAAGGAAGAAAGAAAGAAAGGAAGGAAGGAAGGAAGGAAGAAAGAAAGAAAAAGAGAGAGAAAGAGAGAAAGAAAGAGAGAAAGAGAGAGAAAGAAAAAGAAAGAAAGGAAGGAAGGAAGGAGGGAGGAAGAAAGAAAGAAAGAGAAAGAAGAGAGAGAAAGAAAGAGAGAAAGAGAGAGAAAGAAAGAGAAAGGAAGGAAGGAAGGAGGGAGGAAGAAAGAAAGAATGAAAGAAAGAAAAAGGAAGGGAGACATAGAAAGAGAAAAGTTAATGAGTCATAGAAGGAATGAAGGAAAGAAAGAAGGAAGGAAGGAAACAAAAGAGAGAAGGAAGAAAAGAGAGAAAGAGAAAGATAGAAGGGAAAGAAGAGAGAGAGAAAACAGTTTATTGAATATTAGATTGAAAATTGGGAAAAGAACATTGTAGACTAATCCTTGTTTTGATATATTATGCCTGTGGACTCTATTTCCATTTGATTTTAGGAGCCTCCATTTTGGAAATTAACCATTATTCTAGGCATTTAGAAAAATGTAGATTAGTTACAGGACAAGGGGAAAACAGGCAGGCTGCCTTCTCCCCGTTTGATTCTGCAGGTCCAATGATTTCAGTGAAAATGTCAGTCAGTAAGACTAAGAACAGAAGATGGGACTTAGTCTGAAAAGATCCCTGCAACAGCACAATATTGTTGGTGAAAACCAAAGGCCAAGGAACCTTCAATATATTTCTTAAGATTCAACCCCAAATTCCCCTATCCAAATCTCTATTGTTTTCTCTTCTGAATGTATTTGCCAAGGATGTTTTAAAAACCATTGAATTAGGGTACCAGGAGTCTCTTTCCATGACTTCAATCAAATTCCTGAATGAAAGTTTCAACTAGGTGCCTTATAAGGACACAATTTAGATGGTTTTCATTGAGACAACCATCATTCTGGCATTTGACTTTTTAAAAAAATCCTTCTAGGGATTGTTTTATAAACAATAAAGAAATTGCATTATTATACAAAAAAATTGTTAGCACACATGGTTGTAGAACCTATTTTCAAAAATTCAGCCCAAGCAATTGGAACACAGTACAGTGAAGTTCTCCCCTTTAAAACTAGTATCAAGAGACAATAACTTATATATGTCCTGTTAGGCCTTGACTGTATAGTTACAGTTGTGGATGCTGTATCCAGACCTATTTTAACACAGTCATGCTATAAAGCCCTTCTGTCCTTCATTTACTGTTCACTCACCTAATTGTCTCCATATTCTGGTTCTGGTTTTGTTTTTTTTTAAGTAACCTGTACAAAATAAAAACTCATCATCTAAATTAAATGGTTACTACTTCTCCTTTCTGATACAAATAATCAATAGTCATAACAGAAGAGCAGAAAATGAAGTCTTACTTCTTTTTCCACCATGGACATTCACTAAAAAAGGCACGTTGCTAAATTTCCATGTGCCTTAATTTTTCCCAAATAGAAAAATCAAATTAAGAATAATTCACCAGCTGATTAAGATTTCATTCACTTGATTTTTACTAAGCCTTAAAAAAAAATCTTTGCATAAAATGAGCTAATAAACAGAAAGTATTGGTATCATTGTACTTGCTGTCTAACAGTCTATCTACATCTATATATAATATGTGTGTATATGTACATTTATACACATATATATACATATACACATAATACACATATACATATATTTCTATTTATGTACTTTTCTCAACTGGAGCTATATGCACAAATTGGTTGGACAGTTTTGAGTGACTTAGTCAGTAAAAAGATAAGATTGACTGATGAGAATTTTTTTGACTGACCCCTTTAGTAGGGAATGAATAAGTCAAACAAAAGAGTCAAGCCAGTTTGTTCCTTTAATACAATTTTAGAGATATACCATACACACACACACACACACACACACAAACATAAACCTTGAGCTGTGCAGAAGCATTACTTCTAAAACACGAATACAGTCAACACTAGACCGTAAAAACCAAAAAGGCACATACCTAGTGTTGTCTGGTGTCCTGTTCTGTTGCTTGTTGGAGTTTATACCAGCCAGGAAAAGTCAGTGCACTTTCAATTTCAACTAAATTTGACAGCATTGAAACTTTGACTCCCATCTGATTGTAAACCAGCCAACACCCTCCAAAAAACCCCAAACAAATATAATTTCTGGCTCTCCCACGTAATGGTTATTTTTCCCTTCATTTCAGTGCAAAAGATGGAGATTGTGATAATTTCCCCTTAGTTCTAAGGCTGGGAATTTCCTCTTTATGAATGATTTTTGCAGGTGAAGCCTGATCTTTTTACTGGTGATCACACCACCCCCAAAGTGAACCTGAAAACAAATTCATCTTACAGCTGAAGGCCACAGACCCAGGGTTGACAAGGCTCCCTTTTATTTTCCGGGGCAATAATTTCAGCTGGATGTCTGGTCAGTTGTCATACAGTGTACTTAGCACACTTCTCTCACATACACATACATTGGATTTCCCTCTGGAGAACGTCTAGATCTTTGAGTCTGACTTCTGGAAAGGAATTAGAAGACCTGGTTGTCATCCAAATCCTCAGCTCTGACAATGGCATCACATCACAGGGCCAACTCATCTTTCACAGGCAGCCCTGATCAACCAAGTTTCCAAAGAATGTTTTCTCTCTTTTCCTCTACTGTCCAGGTTTTCATTAGGGTTTTTTTGTTTGTTTGTTTGTTTTTTGGCGCTTTCTTTATGTTATTTGCATGCAAACCTGAAAAGTCTCTTCCTTTAAAAAAAAAATATAGCTAAGAAAACTTCTAAGTTGCCTTTTTCCTCCCCAAGGGATTATGAATGAAGGAGAAAATAGTTTCCAAAATACAAAAGTGGGAATAATTAGATTCTTAGCCTTTCCCCTTCCTAATTGTGATCTTGATTTAATTTCTGCAGCTGGAAAAAAATATATATGTATATATCATTTTTCCCCCCTCTTCCCTCATTTTCTTCGTGAAGGAAAATCATACACACATCAAGACCATAGGATCACAGAAAAGAGGACTGTGTGTATGTTGAAAAAGGGGTTGAGGAAGGGAAGACGCCTTTCCATAAGGTAAGAATTCGAAGCAGCATATCGGAAAGAAATTGCAGCCTATTTCATCTATCCGAGTATTTCTTGAGCCCCTCAGCAGCCCCAGTAAGAAGCCTCCGTGGACTGGGGAGGTGCCAAGGGGCCTGACAGCTACAGTAGGTCCATAGCTGGGTGTTTTCTTCGCAGAAAAAACCCATGGGGGTGGGGAAGGGCGAATTCTCATTATTTCCCCAGCTTTATAATTTCCCGCCCAGGTTATTTTTTATTAGAATAACAATGATGATTATTATTATTAATTTACTGCTCAGCTGCCTCCTGCCTCCTCTGACCTGAGACACCAGAGAGCAGATCTGCTCCTTGCCTTTCTCTCCTTTTCAGCCCTTTCCCCCTCCCCTTCTCTTCCCCCAGGTTTCCCTCCGAGGGGAGGAGAGCGGCACTTTGGCCGAGGAAAGCCTTGGCCCCCTTCTCCTAGTGGGGGGAAGTGAAGTGGGAGTCTGCAGGAGGAGCTGGCGGGGCGTGTGTGTGTCTGGGTGTCTGGGTGTGCGCACACACACACCCTCACACACGCACACACCCTCACACACACACACACACACACTCACACACACACACCCTCACACACACACACACCCTCACACACACACACACACAGCTCCTTGGCCGCCCTGTTTCCTGGTGCTCTGCTCTCTTGACCCCAGTGGCAGTCCCTGTCACTGCACTGCTCTGCTCCCTCCTCCAGCTCGCCTCTCGCTCTCCTTCTCCCTCTCTCCCTCTCCCTCACTCCCTAGCTCTCTTTCTCCTCAGATCGAGGCTGCTCCCATTGCCTCTCTCCCTCTCTCCCTCTCATTTCCAACCCAGCCAGCCGGTGGGACCTCCAGGGTCGAAGGTTCTGCCCTGCCTCCACCAACCTCCACCTCCCCAGCGCCTCTCTCCTTCTCTCCCTGTCTTCTTCTCTCCCTCTCTCTAACCAGCTCTTTCCAACTCCCCTATGGATCGGCTCCTTTCAGAGCACTGAAGGCATCTCCAAGACCCACATCCCAGCCGGAGAAAGGTAATCTACCCCGTTCGAGGGGGGGGTGGGGGTGGTGGGAGGGAGCGGGGAAGGAGGAGAAGGGAGGGGGTGGTGGTGGTGGAATCAGATGGAAAGGAAGGGGAAAAAAAATAACACACACAAAGCCGCGGGTTAGAGGTGCCTTGTCATCTACAAGTAGAAGAGAATCGGGCTGGATCTGAGGCAGCAGGCAGCGTCTGCTCCTAGCTGCTTTTTAAAATAATAACAATAAGGCGACTTTAGTGCAATTTTTATGACTCGGAATAAGCGTTTAAAGAGGTTTTGTTTTCCAGGAGTGAAAGAGAATTATTTTTAGGAGCTGTCTTCTCCCCCACTAACCATTTTCTCGCTCCCTTCCATGCGCCCCCCCCCCGCCCCCAACCCCGACCTCTCCAGGGTATCTTTCTCCTACCGGCGGGGTGGCATGAAGGGGGTGGGGGAAGAAAGGGGGTTGGTGGGGAAGAGGGGGATAGGGAGCACTGCAAGGGAAGTGATTTGGTCGCGGCGAGAGGCAAAGGAGATGGGGGGTGGGGATGCTGGCTCGGCTGCCTGTTTACTAGAAAGTCTCGGGGTTATAATGTTAGAGCACGGCCGGGCTAGGCCGGGGTGCATTGTGTTTGCTGGAGACCAAGGCAACAGCGGCGGCGGCCGCGGCGGCAGCAGATCCGGGGGGGCAGAATGCAAAGTACAGTTACAGGAAAAGCCGCCTTACCGGGAGCGGCAGGCATTGTGAACAGGGGGGCTGTGCGGCTGTGCGCCGGGAGCCCCGCGCGCGTCTGTGTGTGTGTGTGTGTGTGTGTTTGCGTGTGTGTGTGCGTGCGTGCATGCGTGTGTGTATTTTTTCTCACCCTTTCCCCTCCACCCTAACCTTACTCCTTCCTCCGCCGCCTCCCCGCCCCCTCCGCCGGTGCTGGAACAAGCACAGCTGGGGGTGGGGCTGGGGGTGGGGGTGGTGGGGGTAAGAAAAGTAAAAATCGCGAAGGATTGTTTCTTTTTATTCAGAAGCTGGAGTTGCTAGTGTAGGGTACCCGTAAGCTAAGGAGGGTTTAGGAAGCCTTGCAAATCCGGGGTCTTGCGGCCTAGGAGGTGGAAAGGGCAATTATTATTTTTTTCTCCCGTAAAAGGGAGGTGGAGACACCGGGGTGGGTGTAGAGGGATGAGACGAAATACACAAAGGCTTTGAGGATCCAGGGTCCCCCTTCCTGCGGTGTCAACTACACGACATAACTCATCTCTCACCCCCGACCACCACCTCCGACCCCCATCACATGTAAGTCCAAACGTGGGCCAAAAAAAGGTGCATTGATTGCGGAAGACTGAGGACAAACAAAAACTGGTTGGAAAAAACTTTTAAGTGCAAGAAAAAGACTGCCACCCTTCCTTTGGCCCTGTACATCACCAGCAAAGGTCCCTCCCTCTTGGTGACCCCCCTTTCCTTGCTCCTCGGACAGAAGCGAGGCGTCCCAGCAGTTGGTGGACGGTGGTGGCCGTGGCGGCGACGGCTCCGGGGGGCTCTGGCGAGGGCCGGTTTAGGATTGGCCATCGGGAGGATGCCAACCCAGAGCAGCGGAACCCGCTGGGGAGGCATAACGTTGAGGGGGGGGCTGAGGGGGCGGGTGGGCAGGGGGACTTGGTACAAAACCTGGGATGCTGCGGTGTCAGAGCTATTGGGCGCGGATGGCAATCAATCAATCTGGGACCGGTAAAGAGAGAGAAAGAGAGAGAGGGAGGTAGCGAGAAAGAAAGGAAGAAGGAGCAGTCACCCAACAGCGGAGCCCAGTGCAGCAGGGTGGCAGGAGGGGCGGCAGCGACGGTGGTGGTGGCGGCGGCAGCAGCAGCAACCAGCGAGTGCTCACCAGGAAGGAAAGGGGGAGCTGTAGACAGGACTAGCAGGACGTGAACCCGTAGAGGAGGTGGGGTGTGTGTGTGTGAGAGAGTGTATGTATGTATGTGTGCATGCACTTATGGGGCCAGGGGCAGACTGTCCCCCTTCTCTTTTAAGTCCTATGTTTTGAACCTTTCTCAAACTCCCCAAATCTGAGATTTCCCTCTTTCTATAGGAAAATATTTGGTGTACCTGGCGCTGGACACAAGTTCAGGTGTGGGTGTCGATGTGTGTGGGTATATTTAGGGGTGAGGGGTGGGCAAGAAAGCTTTGGTGCCTCTCTACAGCTCTCTAACTTTCTGCTTCTGCAGCTGTGAGCGCATTCCTAGCGAAGGTGGGTGAGCATCCTTGGTGTGGGTCTTACTGTAGCACTGAGAGAAATAAAAAGAAATAATCAGGGACTGAAGTGGGATAGGGAGGAAGGTGGAGAAAGTTGCTTGCAAAGTCTGGGGATGTTGCTTGTTCTCTCCTCTCCCAGACATTATTGTGGAAAAAAATATCCCCCCCCCCCTTTCTTGTCAGTCTGGGACAGGTACAGTGCTCAAAGTCTTGACCTTTCTCACTTGTATTGGTCACTGAGTAGAAGGGGTTTTTTTTGAGGGATTGAACCCCTCGATCTTTTAATTACTCGCAGACTTTTAAAAGGGCTTCTGACCAGATTCCTGAAAATGAATATTCTTCATTGAACAACCTAAGAATACAAGTGGCTGCTGTCTAGGAAATAGGAAATAGATTTACATGATTTTTTAAAGAGAGCTAACCAAGCAGGCACCAGCACGAGGATTTAGGCAGTGTCCATACCTTTTTCTGTTTTTCTTTAGGCTTACTGATATAAACTACTGTTTTATTTTTTGGGGTGAGGGTGGATGTGTTAATGTGAACAAAATGAATGTTGGCTGTCTTTAAGTAAGAAAAAAGGGCAAAAACCTGCTATTTGGATGAATGTGCTTTACAAATATGAGTTAATGGCTATTGTAACAATCACAGTAATAACTTTTAATACATCCCTGAGGTTAGAGATGGCCACTGTACCCACTTTCTGCTTCTAAGTCTTTGGGGGACCGTAATACACATCTTTGCTCTCTAGAAAATGGCTTCATAAGAGGTACTGAAGTGAACACCCAATTGTTTGGAGGGGGAGGCAGGGAGTAGAAATCAGCCTTTTCTCTGCTGTCTGTAAGGGTATCTGAAAGTTTTGAAGTCTTCCTTCTGCCTCAGTCTGACACTCCTCTTCAAAGGACTCCAGATTAAAGGAGATAGACGCTGCAGGTGCACTGTTCCGATAAGACATTTGAAAAAAGAACACAGTGGAGACAAATTCAAATGAGTCTGTAGCCACCCATTCAGCCTTTGCTAGTTACATGGTCTTGCTTGTGCTAATGAAAGGCTGTTCTATTTGGCTCACGAGGGCAGAGGTACGGAAATTTGCAAATGTTCACCCATAAGAAGAGGATTGTGGAGGTGAAGTCAGGATTCTGCTGCCCCTTTGAAAGAGGGCAAATGATTTCTGTTTCATCTAAGTTATCTTTCTTTGCACCTTTAAAATGTTAGAGACTAGAAGGGGTAGGGGATGCGGTAACTACTGCAGGCTGCTTCCTAAATATTTAAAAAAGCTATGTATAATTCATTTTAATTAGTAAGTTACCTCCCCAGGAAATAGATGTAACATTTCAGCTGTTTCTTGGACTTAGGAAGCCAAACTGTTTTATTCAGAGGTCTTAGGAGTCTGGGCAAAAATGACAGTTTTCCTTTGCTTCTTTTACATTCTGTGTTACACAATAGGATCTGATGGTGAGGAATAAGAATTGCATGTAATTTTCATACCACTCTTTAATTTATGCAAGCACTAAGTTCCCACAGTATGAAAATGTGTATTTTTTTTTCCTCCTCCGAGCTTTGATGGCTAACATTCTTTTTAATGACAGTCATTTTTGTAACAGGAAGATGTTTCCATTTGTATTTACTTTGCCCGTACAGTGCAATTATGCAGCTTCTCCCTGCATAGCGTCTTGCTACTTTGTATCTCAAAAGAGAATTACAGTACTTAGAGCAGGACTGCAATTTCAAGCAGGTGTTGCGTGTTACTGTTATGCAAAATAACAGCAAAATATAATTGTAATGGGAAGTTAAGGAAACAGCTGCAAACTTGGTATGGAGACTGGTGACATTATCCTTTGTAAGCAGTTCCTATGGATCTCTTACATCACACCAATAGGGACCACAATTGGAGTCTGAAACTGGTGGGCCTTTTAGTCAGTGCTCCATAAAGACCCATAGGAGCAAGAGGGAAGGTCAGGAGAGAGATAGACACACAGAGGGAGGAAGAGAGAGAGAGAGAGAGAGACAGAGAGAGAGACAAGAGACAGAGAGAGACAGAGAGAGGAGAGAGATAGAGAGAAAGACAGAGAGAGGAGAGAGACAAAGAGAGAGAGAGACAGACAGAGAGAGAGTGAGAGCCCTGAGATGTTGGTCCCTACAAGATTGCCAAGTCACAAGTGATTCATCTCTTGGCAGGGACACTGTGGTTGCCTATTAGCAGAGCAGGCAAGGTGGATGTTACTTAGCCCGCCTTGCGAATAGGAAGGAGGCAAATGATTTTGAGTGGATTGCTGTGGAATGTCTTAGCCCAGATAGCATATGGAAGGCTACACGGGCCTGGGGTTGTAAAATAATAAAATAAATGGCCTATGGCAAGCCATCTGCCTTTTGCAGGGTGTATGAGGTGTTCTATGCCAAATTTAAATCCAATCTTAGTATTCTAAATATTATTTTTTAGATCCCAGCAAAGACTGCTGAAGCTTTAATGGAACACATGGCAAACATATTTTGAATTGAGGAGCTTAGAACATGTAGAAGGCATGTTGCCCTCAAAATAGTTTGTGTGTGTGTGTGTGTGTGTGTGTGTGTGTGTCTGTCTTTGTGTATCTGTGTTTGGTCTAGAGCTTTGAACTAGAGCTCAGAGTTTGGTGCAGGTCTTTGCATTGTGGAAATACACCTACCCATCTCCGAGCCAAATACAGAGAGATCTTCTTTCTGATAGCAAATCATAATATATCAGCATTTTAAACAAAAATGACCAGAGGTCAGACGTATTTCTTCATTCCCTCCCCAGATGTATAAAGCTAATAATCAATTATCTAGCACCAAAAATTAGGTGCTACGTAGATACTTGACATAAATGATATAGTGGTATACTGCTCTCTCCCCCAACATACACACACACACACACACACACACACACAAACACACACACCCCCATCACTGTACCGAAATCCCAGGTGACTGGTGCATTCCACGTGGTGGGCCAAGCATGGGTGTGTTTTACTTTCCTGCTGAGTGAGTCCATGGCATTCTCATTAGCTTAAGGAAATTATACATATCTTTATAGCAGAGAAAGTATACTACTATATGGGGTGGCAGCATGCATGCATTTGCTAGTGGAACACTATTTAACTGGGTTGCATATTATGCTTAAGTTTTTTATTTCCTTCAAAGATGAAATAAACACACAGCGCACACATGCATATGTATACTCGTAAACTGGTATATACACATACAACATGAACATATGCACCTATGTATACCTGTACCTACATATATATGTGTGTATGTATACACACACATATGTAAATAAAAATGAAATAGCATTTTCCATTCATTGTTTTATTGTATATAATTCTGGACGACATTGAGCTTCAAGATGTCAAGAGAAAAAGTGAAATTAATCCAATAAGGAACAAGCCTTCTAAGCAACTCTCCTCTGTGTAGACACTTGTGAACAAGGGGTAACCTCATAAATTTCAGGGTTTTCAGTTGGGTGTAAATAATTAGAAACAAGAGAGGCCATGTAGCTTAATGACATAGAAGGCTGAGTTCAAAGTTAGGAAGACCTGATCTACCTGTGGCACACACTGGCTGTGTGACCCTGGGTAAGTCCCTTAATCTCTTACAGCCCCAGGCAACTGTAAGATTGTTAAATTGTTAGTCTGATGCTGATCTGCATTAACAGAGGGAGTTGCCTTGTCTGGGAGTTTCCTATACCAATAAAGTCTTAAAGCTAATAAAAAAAATTAGTAAGAGACTCATAAAATATGAACCTTTAAAAAATTGGTTCAACCTGAGTTGCGAATGTGCCCGTATTGGTAATTCATGTAAGTGGCACAATTAAAATGAAAGATTGGGCTCACCTTTTAGATGATCAGATTGCGGCCAGAAGTATCCTGTTTTAAATAAAGGCCCCACAAAATTGACTTCAAAGGGAAAAAATAAGCTGGAAAAAATGGTATTCGTGTAGAATTAACCCAGATTCCCACGGCTGACTTTCACAGTTATCCATGAAATCTCGGAGTTTGGGGGAGGATTTCTCTCTCACCACATTGGCCTTTTCAGTGAAGTTTATTGTTTTTGTTTGTTTGTTTGTTTGTTTTCTTGCTTTCAGAAACTCAGGGCCTTGATGAGTAAGTCGCTCCTCGGGTCCGGTCTTTGGCTGCAACACACAATGCCTGCTCCCATCCTTTGCTCCGGAAAATTGTGAATTGCTCATGACTATAAGGAGGAAGGATGGCACATGGGATCCCTTCTCAGGGCAAAGTTACCATCACCGTGGATGAGTACAGCTCCAACCCAACCCAGGCTTTCACTCACTACAATATCAACCAGAGCAGGTTCCAGCCTCCACATGTACATATGTAAGTATTTCTCATGGTCTTTAAAAAAAAAAAAAATTTTTTTTTCAAGAAAAGAAAGCAATTAAAAAAAATCAGTGAATAACAGAACTTTTCAAGGGGAAAAAATTAGGGAATTCTGCCAGGGAGATGAAGGCAAAGCAGATTGATTTACCGATAACTTCAACCCCTTACCTTTTTTTCCCCATGTCCTTTCCCAAGCCTCAAAGGATCCCTGAGGAGTATTATAAGGCAATCAGGCAGATGAAGGAGACAAGATTAGGTGACTTGCCCAGGGTCACACGACTCCCTCAGTGTTGGAGCTAAAACTGGAGATTTGATCTCCTCCACAGTAATATGTGAGCTTCTCCATCCCCCTACCCCAAACAGCATATTTCTTTAATATTTAAACAGTCCTGCCTCTCCCTCTGTGCCTCCCCACACCCCTTTACATTCAGCTGTGAAATAGGCCTAATTGGGAGTAATTGTCCAGTGATTACTGAATCCATTGTCTTTCATTTGGTGAGCAGAAAGTGTGCTGGCCTACCCCATTCCACTAACAATAAAGGGGACAAAGGATTAGGGAATTCTGGAACAGTTAGTCTCAAGAAACAGTACTCTTCCTTTGGACCCCTCCTTCCCCCTAACACCCTTAAAGTAATATGGGAGACCTAGGCTTGGGAGACTACTGGAGTCAAGAGTCATTTCGAACCCTGGCATCCTTAACCCCCCTGGTTGTGTACTTGTGATTTAGTTAAACTCTTCCAGAATCCCCCTCAGCTGTGCTGAGCTCCCCTCAGAGTGGGGCAGGCGGTCAGCTTGTCCATTGTTTATTCAAAGCCTCAGGTCCACTGTGTCAGACCCTTGCAGTTGTCTGATGTGAATGATTCAAAATTGGAGTGAACCTCTTCGAAGATGGTGGTATAGCCAAGATCAGAGAGGTTAGAAAGTTGCTTCTCTGCCTAGGCCACCCTTGGTAGAATCAAACTTGGGGTCTGTCTTAAGTCCTGAACTCTTTCTTTAGTCTTTGCTTTTCTTGGCCTTTAAACAAAAAGATAAAAAAAACCCCTTTAAACTTCGACACACTAAGAAGATAAAAAAGGTGTTTCCCGTGACCCTAGAGAGTTGGTGTGAATACCAAGATTTTGCTTTGTGGGCATAATCTCCACAGCCAACGCTATTACCTATGATGAGATGTCTGCAGATCGAGGAGACTGAAAGAGCAGGTACATGCAAAATCCTTGCAAAGAAAGATTGCAATTAAAATCTTTCCCAAGAACTGTGTATTGTGAAATATTTTGGGTCTCTTTAAGTCAGAAGTGTTTTTTTAAAAGTGTTTTTGGAAAACAGCTTAATTTATACTTTTGGTAGGAAAAAGTTCTGGTTGACCAAACTTACCTGTTGATTGATTAGATTTTTTTTTCCTAAAGAAGACATAAATATTCTAGTAGGTTTATGGAAAGAGCACTGAGCTAGAACCAGGAGATGTAGGGCCAGGTCCCAGCTCTTTCACTTGTTATCTGTGTGACATTGGGTAAGTAACTTCACCTGTCTGGGTCTCAGTTTCCTCATCTGTGAAATGAATGAATGGGATTACGTGATCTGTTCAACATGATTTTTTAAAGCATTTTTTTTAGTGAGGCAATTGGGGTTAAGTGACTTGCCCAGGGTCACCCAGCTAGGAAGTATTATGTGTCTGAGGTCGAATTTGAACTCAGGTCCTCCTGACTCCAGGGCCGGTACTCTATCCACTGAGCCACCTAGCTGCCCCTCTTCAATATGATTTGGAGACCGTATTGTACCTTGCAAAATCGTTCATTTTTCTTCTGTTTGGTATAACAGTATGTAGAAGTCAGAATTTGGGTTTCATTAGAGCTCTATTTTGTACGTATTTGGCACCCTTCATTCAAAAATAGCCAAGAACTTTGTTGGCTCTCGTCCCAGTCAGGGATGTTAAGGCATGAGGAAATTGGGTAAAGCTCTTAAAAATTGGCTTGTAGAAATGGAATGAAACTTCGGGACCTGAGGATTACTATTTGTTTGTCCTTCCTCAACTAATATGAGAGGCAAAAGGTGTAGTAGATAGAAAGCCAGCTCCAAAGTCAAATGAGCCCTAGCTTCAAATCTTGCCACAGGCATGTGCTGGCTGTGTGACATTGTGCAACTCACTTAACCTATAGATGTTTTCTGAGTATTAAAAGAGGTGCCAATCTGCATTGGAAGAGGGAGCTTTTTAACCTGGAAGTTGCTTATGCTAAAAATCACAGATGTAGTCAGTATCCTTAATAATAGGTAATTTTGTTGTCGTTCACTCATTTCAGTTGTCTCCAACTCTTTGTAACCCCGTTTGGGGTTTTCTTGGCAGCGATATGGGAGTGGTTTGCCATTTCCTTCTCCAGCTCATTTTACAGATGAGGAAACTGAGGCAAACAGGGTTAAGTTACTTGTCCAGAGTCATGCAGCTAGTAAGTGTCTTAGGCCTGAGTTGTGATTTGTAAAAGCAATAAGCATATTCTAAGATTCATATGAGTTGAGAATTAGTGTAGTCTGTTACAAATAACAATAACACAGTTGATTGCTTGAAACATTATATTGTCATGAACTCCCGAGGTTGGCATTCAGGGCTTTCTACTATGTCCCCAAATGTTTCCTCAGCTTCTACCATATTGACTTCTTCACTATTCTTTGTGAATTTCCAGATCTGAGCCTTCCTTTGCACTACTCTACATAGTTCCAATCTCCTCTCTTCTTTTTCTCTTGGCCTGCCAAATTCCTAGCCCTGATTTAAGGCCCATCCCAATTCTTACATGCCTCAGAAAGCTTTCCTTGACCATCTCATCCCACTGTATTTTTTTCCTCCCTTAATCTCTTATTGTCCCTCTATACCACTCATTTGACACACATACGGCAAAGTGTATTTGTTAATTAGCTTTATTTATACTAGCATATACGTTTACTCCTACATTTTAAGTTCTTTTGGGCAGTTATAGCTAGGGCGCAGATACAAGGCTTTGCCTCAGGACAGGGAAGTGTGTGAAGAGCACCATCATGGTGGGTCTTGTTTCTTATCCCTATAGCCACCTAAAACCTGATAGTGTCCACATTTCTGCCCCTCCGTCACTAAGTGGACTATCCTACAAGAGTGTAGAAACCTCATGGAGTTCTGGGAGCCAAACCCTGCCTTCCCCCCATCCGCACATAAAAATACTTCTGGTTGCTGCTCTATCTTTGGATCAGAAACTGTATTTCTGGGAATGTCATTAATGTTCCATAGATATTAGCTGGTTGTTTGATTTATACATTCAGAAGGAAGTAACAGGAGACATTTTCATTTGGAGTGGTTTGTATCTTCATGGCATTGGGACAAGGTCTATGGCTGTATATTTTTATTAAAGGATTGATTGAGTTTTCCCAAGAATTTGGATTTCTCTTTTCATTAGTTGTATTCCTACAAATTACTGAGACAAGTGTCTAGTTGAGAATGTTGATTTTAATTTTTGGAAATGGCGAATATCACATTTACTAAGCACTCAATATTCCAATTATGCTCGTTACAGTGGAGTTTTACTAGCGTCTGAAGTCAAAGGACTTGGGTTTGAATATCTGCTCTTTGTTGCTGTTACTGAGTCATTTTCAGTGTGTCCAACTCTTCATGACCTCATTTGGGGTTTTCTTGGCAGAGATCTTGGAGTGATTTGCCATTTTCTTGTCCAACTCATTTTATCGATGAGGAAACTGAGGCAAACAGGGTTAAGTGACTTGTCCAGTGTCACACAGCTAGTAAATGCCTGAGGCCAGATTTGAACTCGGGGAAAATGAGTCTTTCTGATACCAGGCCTGGCACTCTTCACTGCCCCATCTAGCTGCCCCTTGAATATCTGTTCTACAGCTTACTAACGGTGTGACCTGGGGCAAGACGGTTGACTTCTCTGGCTTTCAGTTTCCTCATCTATAAAATAAAAGGGTTGGATCAGATAACCTCTACAGTCCTCTCTAGTTCTAAATCTATAAAACATAAGCATCTCATTTTCCATGAAATATTTTGGATGCTTTAGCTCTCCATACTTCACGTCTGGAGAAATAGTTAAGAGAGTTCTAAGAATAGCTATGACAGGGCACCACGAATGGAGCTAGGTCCCAATGCCTTTCATAACCTCTTTTCCCTCCCTAACAGTCCACTGATATCTGGAAACTTCTCCCCCCTGGCTTTGACTCTTCGACTTCAAAAGTGAATTATTGGCTCACCTGGGCGAAGATGTTTCTGCATGTTAGTGTGCCTCATTCTGTGAATTCTGAGAATAAAAATAGCCCATAAAACAGATTAAGATGAGGGCTGGGCTTGAAGCTCTGATTTTTGCCTGAGAAAGTCTACTACTACTACTATTACTACTACTACTTTTTCTTCTCCTTTCTTTATCTTCTTCTTCCTCCTCCTCCTTCTTCTTCCATTACCACCTAAAGAAAAAAAAATGAAAGCTACGTAGAAGGGAAGAAAAACCATGTCGAGGCGTGCAATGCATCTTTCTCCCTTGATGTGGCCATGCTGTTAGCAGGCATAGTTGTAACCTACCCATTGTTTGCCTAGCTCGCTGGGCCACCCATTTCTCCACTTCCCACTCTTAACCCAGCCCTTGTGGTTTTCCTAGAGTCTTTTAAATGAATGGTGTAGTGAGAAGAGTTACTATTATTTTTGTTATTCATTTATTATTTATTTCTCTTGCTATTCATTTCGTGGTGAGGAGAGCTTACCTTAAAACTTTTTAAAATGTCTTAAGAAGACATTTGGTATTTGACATATGGAAACGGTAAATTTCTTTATGTGGAATTAGTGATTATCTCTGAGCTAATGAGAAATTGCTTGAAATATGGTTCTTTTGTAGTATTCTAACCTTCTACTTTTTTAAATTAATTAGTTGATTTCTTTATTTTTAGTTTTCAACATTCACTTTTATAAGATTTTGAGTTCTAAATTTTCTTCCTCCCTCCCCTTCCCCTCAACAAGGCAGCATGCAATAGGATATAGG